GATGATGACTTGTGTCCATTTGCAGAATAGTTCATTTCCAAGTGATATTCGCTTTTATAGGTACCCTTTAATTCATCGGATCGATAGTTCGGTTAGCATACCAAACTTTATCCAACTTAATTTTTGTAGCAGGTAGGTATAAGTACCTACCTATTTATGTAATACACATTTGTGAGACTACAAATCTGCACTTGCCGCACCCAAGAGCGCCACTCTCCAGGCTTCAAGGCAATATTTTCTGTTTCCGAAGGGCTTGATTTTTTCTAAGCCATGCTTTGTCTCGTGCATATCTTGCGAAACATCTTGGAGTGAAGTCTAAAGATAAGAAAAACGGACTATACACATTACACATACATGCCCAGGTACAGTGCAAAAGTCATATTAGGCATAAAGCCCGCCAACACATAGCATAAAGCATACAAAGACGTGAACTCGGGCAACACACAAGCACACAAACACACACACAAACTGGCACGCACGATAAGTAATGTAGTTCAGGAGGTCACCGCGACAAGCACTAGTGTACACGGAGCGATAGGTCAACCGCCAGTTCGACTCAAACCGTCACCTCCTCCGCTGAACGATGTCCTTGGGTGGGGCTGCGGGGTGGATGGTGTTCGGTGACTCCGACTCCGACGCCGGGTCGAAGCTGTCGACTCGGGCCAACTCCGACTCCGGTCAGAAATGTCGACTCCGACCGACTCCGATCCCAGCTCCGACCACGGAGTCGAAGACGATACGGAGGCGATGGGGTTTTCTGTGACTCCGACTCTGACTCCGACTCCGACTTCCAAAAGTCAACACCGACACCGACTATGGGCAGCACTGTCGACTTCGATCGACTCTGATTCAGACTCCGGCTTCAGAGTCGAAGTCGATGTGGACTGGATGGATTTTTCGGTGACTCCTACTCCGACCCCGGGCAGAGCTGTCAACTACGACCTATAGGTCGGAGTTAACCCCGAAATGGAGTTAACTCCGTTTCGGAGTTACTTCGGTTAAAGGAGTTAACTAACGGAGTTACTCCGGTTCCGCCGCTCCGTGACCTTGAGTGGCTCAAAAGGAGGTTGATTAACTGATTCGAGCCGACTGACCCCAGCTGGTGAAGAATCGGGAAAATGAGGCAGACCTATGCAGTATGTGATGATGTAATTCATAAGGAAACGGCGGTTATCACGCTCACTGGGTCAGTCGTATAGTGGAAGGTTAGAACTGGCTGGCTGTATCGATTGTGACGATGGGTGTGGGATGTGTAGGTGGATGCAGGCAAACCATTGAGTTGGTATGTGCCTATGCTTGTGTCTTCTTTTTATGAATCTACACGTTAAATGGGGTCGGCAAGATCGGTGATTGTTGACATCTGTCACATGATACACTGCCAAAATCACCGGTCCCATGATAAATGCGAGTATAATTTGTTTAAAATAAATGGTAGCCCCTACAAAGCAGACGCTCCTGAACGCATTTTCACATTATCCTATTTTGATAGCCAATACCACGGATGCCATAAATGCCCGATAGCTATTAATAATGGAACAATGTACTAACTGGTATATTCCAGATGTTATTTATATATTGTGCTATCGATATTATGTCTCTCCCCCCCCCTCTCTCTCTCTCTCTCTCTCTCTCTCTCTCTCTCTCTCTCTCTCTCCCTCTCATTAATCCCTCTGTGTGTGGGTACGAGTGTATAGAGACCAGAGGAAGCATGTCCTGCCACACACACTGCCCCCTCCCCCTCTTCCTCCCCCTCCCCCCGGGGACCGTGCCACGAGCCCAAACAGTAGCGACCGGCGGTGAGGGCTGCCAACCGCGCCAGAAATGTCGCAGATGTGCCAAAAATGCCCTGTCAGTGTAGTGGGTTCTGGGTAGCCTACCTCCGCGAGGCTGAGCTCTCTCAGAGGAAGCTATTATGTCGTTAGGAATAGATGCTGACATATAGGTGACAGTTTGGTAAATGAGTCCGAATATCACTTTGGCGGTGATGGTAGCGGTGGTATGTGCTTTGATTTAGGTTGAACTTTTAGAAGATTGCCCTTGACTATATTTATGCTGAACATAGGATTTATCTTATAGAGACGTGGAATTTCTGTAGATAAACAAACATATGTTTTTGTTTAACATTTCTGTGGTAGTCATGGAGACGATGCATTGGCTTTTGAGACTACGAACACTGCAAAGGCGCTCGTTTGGCAGTGCACCACCTCCCTCCCGACCTGGCATCGCCCCTGCTGCTGGGACTATGAAACTGCAAAGACGCTCCTATAAGGAGGAATGCCGCGCTTTTTCAGTTCTATTGTCTGCTAGTTTTCCTCGTCCGGTAGGTACACCTTTGTTCGGTCTGCCATTGCTCCCATTGCTGCAAAAAGGTGTATGTAGGCAGGAACAGTAATGGCCATGATGAGCGTTTGGATAGAAAGTAGGCCGTATTTTCCCTGTGGTGGGTGCCATGCATTAGCTGGCAGGCGCGGATCCAGGGGGGGCGACGGGGGCGGCCGCCCCCCCCCCCCCCCGACATCCGAAAAAGGCGCCCATAGCCCGCGGCAGAGAGGGCGCCCCGAGCAAAACAGAGGCGACACAGCAAAGGTTGAGCAGAAATAGGGCGCCTCCAGCAGAAGTTGGGCTCACCAAGCAGGAGAGCGACGCCCAATTACCCATTCCCAGCAGATCAGAGTCGCCCCAGAAGCAGATGGGCGCCCCCAGCAGAAGAGGGGCGTCTTATTACAATAAAAAGATGCCTTCTGTTCAAGAGGGGCACTCCTGGCAAGAGAGGTGTCCCCCTGAAGAGGAGCGACACCCCAGCAAAAGAAGAGAGGCGCCCCCATTCCAAGAAGAAGAGGGGCGCCCTAACCGCAGATAGGCGCCCCAACAAAGAAAAAGAGAAGCCCCATAATAAAAAAAAATGGGTGCCACTGGCAGAAAAGGGGCGCCCCCGGCAGCGGAGGGGGCCCAGGAGGAGAAAGGAGCCTCCAGCAGGAGATGGGCGCCCCAGCAAAGGGGGGCGCCCCAGCAGAAGAGAGGAGCCCCTTGCAGGAGAGGGGCGCCCTCAGCAGAAGAGGGGCGCCCCAGCAGAAGAGAGGCGCCACAGCAAAAGTTGATCAGAGATGGGGAGCCTTCAGCAGAGGTTGGGCTCGCCAAGCAGGATAGGGGCGCCCCATTGACAATATCCGGCAGAAGACAGACGCCCCAGCAGCAGATGGACGCCCCCGGTAGAAGAGGGGCGCCTCATTACAAGAAGAAAAGGAGTATATTCTGCACAAGAGGGGCGCCCCTGAGGCAGCGGAAGGGCAACCCCAGCAGAGGGGCTGTGCCCAAGTAAAAGGAGACTGGTGCCCCGCTCCGAGCAGAAGAGGGGCGCCCAAGCAAAAAGAGGAGCCCCATAAGAAGAAAAGCGATGCCTCTGGCAGGAGAGAGACGTCCCCCGCAGTGGAAGGGCGCCCCCAGAATTGAGGCGTCTCTAGCAAAAGATAAGTGCCCCTGCAGGAGAGGGGCACCCCAGCAAAAGTTGGGCAGAAATGGGGCGCCCCCAGCAGAATTTGGGGTCGCCGAACAGGAAAGGGCCGCCCCATTCACAGTAGAAAAAGGGACTCCCCAGCAGCAAAGGCGTGCCCTAACAGAAAAGGTGCACTCCCAGTAGAAGCGGGACGCATCAAGAAGAAGAGGGGCACTTCTGCAAAAAAATGGGCGTCCCAGATAAGTGGGCCGCCTACAGCAAATTGGTCGTTCTTAGAAGAAATGAGGCGACTTCAGCAAAGTGAGCCTCCCCATGACGGATTGGGCGATCCAAGCAGAGGTTGGGCGCAAATATCTTTAAAACGGCGGCGCTGCGCGCAGCCGGAAACCTAGGGGAATATTTGCGGAAAACCTAGGGGGACGTGACAACGCACGGCGTGGGTTTTAAACTCTCGATTTTGACGACGGTTTGGCGCCCCCGGATTGCCAGGTCGCCCCTATTTCAACTTGCCGCCCCCCCCCCCTCCCGAAAATTCCTGGATCCGCCCCTGTTAGCTGGGGATGGTTAGGCCATATATTGTGCTTATATAACGCCGCCTGCAAATGTGTAAAGCTTGGTTTCCTGTTTTCATCGCAATAGCAATGCAAAGCCGTTAGGGCAAGCAGGACATGGTAGAAAGGAAGCTCGTTTTGTAGGCAGCTTATATGAACATTCAGCGCTACTTGCACATGCATTATGTATACATTTGTGGCACATATACATATGCACACATAGGCGGTGGAACGGGGAGGGCACCGGCCACCGGGGCACCGTGCCCCCCTCTGATTTTGGCATTTTAACATTAGCCCTATGGGCGTTGGCCGTTGCCTGGAAAGAATGGGATCAAAAGTCGTTAGTGCCCCCCCCCCCCTTAGTTGAAGTGTTCCGCGGCTACTGTACTCGTAAGCACATACATATGTACATGCTTTTAGCATACACACAGTGATCAAGGTATTTGTTACCGCAAGCTCTGTATTTGTATTCTGTATTTGAATTTATTATCGTTTTTATATTTTTATATTTTTACGGGCAAAAGTGTTCTTATTTAAGAGCTTGAATTCAGTGGTTGCAGTGGGCGAAGTGTCGGTATCAATGACCGCGCCAGTTGCAGAGTCCCTTCTGATGACCTTGACCTCCGCCACCTATCAGGAAAATCCGTGCAGTTTAACTAGTTTGATTTGGTTATGTAATGCAGTAATTGGGTCAGGTCTGTCGCATACTGCAAGATATCAATGCAAATTGAATGTATCGTGGGCATTTTGACAATTAAAGCCAAAGGAGAGAATTGATCGCACAATCAAGGACATCGTTCACCAAATTTGACACTACATGTCGGCCAAGCGGTGACTGATAGGTGGTGACCTTTATGATTGCCTTTCCGCCGATATCTCTATCATTTCCAGTGAAAATAAAGTTCCTAGCGCATTTGATGTAACACTTGACTTGAATGTTGTATTTATTTCAATCGAAAATGTGAAATTTAATAACTATCTTTTCTCTTTTACAGGTTTAGCTTCGATCGGCGTTGAGTATCTTCCTGAAAATCTCGGGGTCTCATAAGGATTCGGCTTCATCTCCTACATCAGCATATGCGAAAAGCCGTTGACAATTTATCACGAGAACACTGCAAATCGACCATTTTCAACCCTTCAACAAGGTATGCTAGACTGGAGGAAGCCGAATGTTCTGGTGCGATACTGCCTTCTTTGTAACGATACATACATATGTAGCTAAAAGTTGCAAGAAAAGTTATTCACTTTTGGAATGATGAATACAAAATGTTGTGTTTTTATGGTAAAAAAATACCGCCTTGGCCCTTGGATACACATGAATATGATGTACAACATAAAATATATGTGTTTTTTGATAGAGCACATAGAAAACGTTTGATTCCTAAAGCCGCTTCAGTGCTATAGAACGTTTAACCCTCGCATGTGTGCGGCATTTGCCAGCTTCTAACGTGTAGGGGGGAGGGTCGGTTGGACCCCCCCCCCTTGCCGTTTGGCCCCTGATCAAGCTAGAGCTTCACGGAAAAACCGAGCGTGTTGCCCGTGATGAGACGAAGCCGATGATACCCAACTTTAAGTTCTTAGGTCATTGGTTGACCTTCTAGGTCAGGTCAATGACCCAAAAGTCGGGAAAATCGGGACCTGTTAGAAAGTCGTAAAGTGTGGCTGCTATGGTTTTTTTCGGGGTGCTGATCACGAATATCGTGTTAGTTTTAATCACAGATGATGTCTTCAAGCATTTAGACCAGGTCGGGGCAGGTCAGGTCAGATCAACCAGTACGGCTACTACGAATACCCATGACGGGTATTCGTAGTAGGTGTCAACCGCCTCTGACAGCTTCGTAATATGTTACGAAGGCACCAAAACTACTTCGTGAATGTTTAAACAGTTTCTAAATTCGAATTCAGCTCCAAAAACTAGCCTAGCAACATGTAAAACTCGAAAAAGTGAACCGAGGTCACCAAAGGTCAATGACCTGACCTGACCTTCAGGTGACTTTGACATCCACCCTAATGCATGGGAGCAACATCGAATCACATCTTTGAACGTTTTACGAAAATCTTGCAAACGCGCGGCTAATGCGAGCCGACATACGCCAAATCGCGATTCCGGCCAAGCACGGCCTCGGGAAATAGGTCACAGGTCAAAGGTCACTTAGGTCAGGGTCATGAAATTTTCAGGGTAGGTGTAAAAGTAATCAACTCGAGGGCACTGAAAGTGTTGTCGCGATCGGCCGCTTTTTGCGTGAGTTATTCGCGAAAAACCATGGTAGGTGTCATCCGACCCCCCTACACATATGCGAGAGGGGTCACAATTTCGTTTATTTAATGCGGGTAGTATAAGATGTAGCGTGTGCCGACCGTATATTCGGCTGAGTGATAAGCCATAAACAAATCTAACTTTTAACGACAGTGTTAGCCATACAGACCAAGCGTTATGATTGAGCGACAAAATCAATGCCACAACAGCATTTTGGTTCAGTCATAGCTAATGCTGATTTTTGTGGCATGTTTTGTCTCAAACAAACGAACCATTTTGACCAGCGCTATCAATCTTGCTCTGAACGCAATCAAAGCTGATTTACCCAGCAACCGAAGATTTAAAATAAAATAATGCATTTTTTTTCTTTTCCAACACTGTTGTATTCAGGCAGCACATGGGTTAAATGCCCCTGCAACCCCCCCCCCCCCCACCTGAAGCTTACTACACCTTTTTGCATTTGAATTCAACCATTCGCCATAACTGTTTGAGGAGCCATTTCGACAATCGGCATTGAGCACAACTATTCCGGCGTGGTGTGTTTCATTTCAGCCATTCGGCAAAACAGATTGAACACTGAAATGAGCGATCTGCAAAACAGTTTAGCAGTTCGCCAGACTTCGGCATAGAGGGAGCCAGCTCAGCATGTGACGAATAGTTTCGACCATTGACGACGATTTGTTTTGCGCACTGTTGAACCATTCGTTCAATGTTGAATTGTAGAGGAAGATCGCCGAATAGTTTTGCACAATGGTGATTCTTTGTGACCAACCGCCCATTTGTAGCGCCACCTATATGGCGAATGTGTACAAATGTTTTGCCCAATGGTCAAATGCTAACGCAAAAAGGTGTATTACCATCTATTACCTAACCTGCTCTACCTGCAGCGCCTGAATTAGATAAAATTACCATTTTTGAAGAATAGAAAGAAAACTCAGCAATTTTTATGAACATTTTGCGTTAAACTGCGTAACAGTGCACGTTGCACAATGATTCACAATACGAGTAGTTTTAGTTTATTTGGTGAAGTTTCTTTAAAGGTACTCGTGTGTCCTCACAGCGTCTAAGACCGAGTTTCTACAGATTTGCCAGTGTTTTCGAATAAAATAATTCAGAAAACGAAGACCCACTTCTGTAAACTGGGCCCCCTGATAGACACTCATCTTGGACAAAGCAACTTGCAGCTTGATGTTATCTTAGACAAAGGACCCATGGCTGTACCCATCTTCAGATGTACGACTGGCCTCTTCTAAGTATGACTACAAGGAGCAGGCTTTGTGTTAAAAAAGGTGTCGTCTATCGCCTGTGTGTGTTCTTCGTTTTGCGGGGTGCCTCAGAGAATAATCTCGGTGAGATGGCAAATGATATCGAACCAATAAAAAGGAAACGAAACATCTGCACTTAACCCAACTTAACCTTGTTTTTTTATGGCTGCGTTGGTGCCCAGTGCAATGTTTATTGTATAACACGCCTTGGTCAATAGTCAACAGTTATACCGCTACCTGCCCTTCTTACAATACTTTCTTACAAAGCTTCAAGGTTAAGGTTCATATCTTAGGTACTTCATTTCTTATAATCAATTTTCTTCCAATCTCCTCCTTTGTTCCACCCCGTCGCTGATCTCCGTTCCAGTGACGTCATATGGGCTCTATTGCGCTCCTGCTATCGACCGGGCCCGACCACAGAGATCACTCCTCGATGGAAACGTCGTTTGGCCCGCTGACTGGTGGAGTCAGCGACAAGGCCAGCTGACGTCACTGGTCGATGACGTCATTGGTGAAATTTATTGAGACGAGACATGGTTTATATAGGTTCTGTCGCCCAAAGTGATGATGACTTGCCACATTATAATTATAATTATTAGTATTTTTTGTTATTACACCTTTTTGCGTTAGCTTTTGACCATTTGCATTGGGGAAAATGTTTGTACACATTCGCCATAAAGGTGACGCGACAAATGGGCGGTTGCGATAGGCGTTATCACAAGTGTATTCGCGGCCATTGGGGCGACGTAAGAAAAGAAGAAACCAACTGGCCCCAAGAACTTTAAATTATCAGTTAGCGTGCACCTTTTCCTTGATGTGTAGAGAATTTACCATTATTTGGTACAGAAAATTGCATTTAAAATCTTCCATTTATGCTTTTTTCATCGTTTGCACAATATGTTCTTTTACTAAGCTAGAAACACTAATTAGAAATAGTTCCGGCATCATCAAGAACAATAGGGAAGGCTTGAAGTGAATAAAATAATTTAAACGGTTTTGTAATCTATGTGAAGGCACTTCTAAAGTTGCCTGTAGAAATATTGAAGGCAAAAGTTCAACTTTTTCACAAGCGGGATGTCTATAAACCTATTTAACTTGTGACAACTCAGCCGGTATTTCGTCGCCTACAGCCCAGCTTTCCCTAGTGACCGATAGAGGCGCTGCTATCGATGTCCGCCCGTGCCGCCTAACGTGGCCACAAAGAATCACCATTGTGCAAAACTACAGGGTGTCCGGAAATTGATTGCACACTGTCCATATGCCCGTATCTTGCACATGCTCCCGCCAAACCGGTTAGGGAGGGTCGCGACCCCACCCCCGTGCACCCCAGCGTGTCAGTTGATCACGTGACCCAGCAGGTGACCTGACCCGACCCATAGTGAGCGGCCACAGGTCATTTTCCGAAAGGCAGTCTTCACGCGCGGGCCCCATATCGGGAATGGTGAGGGAGCACACTTTGACGACGCGCCACCGCGCGGTTGGGATGGTTCAAGCCGGGATGACGGTAGGCGATGTTGCCCGACAAGTGGGCGTATCTCGCCGGACCCTTCATTACTGGCTAGCTCTCGACCGCAGCGGTGCATCACTGGAGAATCGTAAGGGTCGTGGGAGAAAGACTGTGCTGAGCAGAGTGGCCAAAATCGTGCTCGCCAAGGCCGTGCTGAAACGACGCCAATCGACGCGGAAACTGGCCAAAAAGCTGACTGAGAAGGGTCACCCGGTGTCGAAGACCACTGTTCACCACTACATGACCAAGTGCTTGGGTCTCAAGCCGCTAAAACTGCGCCGCCAGCCAAAACTGACCGAAGCCCAGAAGCGGAAAAGGCTGGCATTTGCCCGGGAGCGGAAGAACTGGACCATCCAGGACTGGCGGCGCGTTTTGTTCAGCGATGAGTCGGTGTTCGAGCTCATGCACCCGCCGAATCGCCAGAACGAGCGCGTCTGGGCGCACAGCAGCGCTGAAGTGCCTGCCATCGACACGGTGAAGCAGCCGCTGAAAGTCATGGTCTTGGCCATGATGAGTCATCAGGGCCTGTCGGAGCTCCACTTCGTCCCCCGCGGCCAGACCGTGACGGCCCAGTACTACGTGGAGGAGGTCCTGAAGAAGTCGGCAGCGTCGGCGATGAAGCGGAAGAGGAAGACAGGGCCGCCAACACAGGTCGAGCTGCTCCCGAAGATGTCCGAGGCGATCTTCCAGCAAGACGGCGCTCCGGCTCATCACGCCACCAGCACTCAACAGTGGTGCCGGGACAACCTCCCAGGGTTTTGGGAGAAGGGTGTATGGCCGGGCAACAGCCCTGACCTGTCGCCCATCGAGAACGTGTGGGCTATCGTGCAGAGCGAGCTCGACATGATGGAGCCGGCTACCACCGAGAAGGCGCTAATCAGGAACCTCCAGCGAGCGTGGCTCAGCATCAGTGCGGAAACACTGGATAACCTAATGTGCGGCATGCCCGACCGTATGAGGGACTGTGTGCGACTGGGTGGAGGGTATATCGGCAAATAAACCATGAAACATGCTCGTTTTGTTTCCTTGTAAAATGTACTAAAAGAGTGTGCAATCAATTTCCGGACACCCTGTATTCGGTGATCTTCCTCTACAACTCGACATTGAACGAATGGTTCAACAATGTGCAAAACAAATCGTCAATGGTCGAAACTATTCGTCATATGCCGAGCTGCCTCCCTCTATGCCGAAGTCTGGCGAACTGTTAAACTGTTTTGCAGATCGCTCATTTCAGTGGTCAATCTGTTTTGCTGAATGACTCATTATATAGATCCATTGCTTCATTTTATAACTAAAAAACGTCCGTTATTAGGCCTTAATGAAGGTATAAAGTACTTAAATCGAAGTTCAAGAAGATGCTGTCTGAGCACAATCTGGTAACATCACGTGACTTCTTTTCAGCAGATTGTATATTATTTAACCCTATTAGTGGCAGGGGGGGGGGGGGTTGTTTTTATCCACCCCTCAGGTTTTTCGGGAATATCTCCGAAACCGCTGAAGCTACGATGCTGAGATTTTCTGACTTTTCCTAAAACTAAATTGGGCACATTCCCTGAAAATTTTAAGTTCATAACTTTACCAGGGGCGGCTCCAGAGCACTGGGAATTGGGGGTCCTATTCGTGAAGCGAGTCATTTGGGCGAAGATCACGATGCTGCACCAGTTTTACGAACAGTGAATGAAAGGTATCATGTGATAACATATACAAAGTTATTGTGCATCCTCTTTTGACACGTTTTTGCTATAATAGGCGGATCCAGGCGTCCAAAAAGGGGGGTTATTTTTTTACCTCCCAACATAGGTCCCCTGACACCGCCTATGCATGACCAATACAATTTTAGTCGTTCTCTCATAAGAAAATTGTAACATAACAAGACCATTGCCACCCTTTTTAGAAACAGTACCAACAAAAACCTTATTTACTATACTTTTTGTGTACCCCCAATCTCAATGATCTGTATCCGCCTATGATTTTTGAAAATGCATATTTTTAGGATCCATGTGAATTCCTGGTTCATTCTCTATCGATCGGCAAAAGTTGTGTTAAGATTGGTTCAGAAACCTGGCCGTGATAAACAGTCTAAAATGTATCTGCAATTTGCCCGTTTTTACCCCCTCTACCCCCCCTATTGACATTTTTTAATTTTTTTTTTTTTTAGAAATGTAGATCTCGTTGAGCCAAATCGAATGCCGTTTGAATTTTGAAAATCGGCCGGTTAGATCTCGAGATATCAAGGGGGGGTCGTAAACAGCCCCCCCTGCCACTAATATGGGGTAGCCAGGGGCCTGCCACTAATAGGGTTAAGGATATATTTACACGATTGCTGCCTAAAACATCGTCAATAATACACTTGTAACATTTATCACTTCTGCTTAGTCATAACATTGCAAAACGCAAAGTTTCTCATAGCAGTCACGTGACCAGCAGCTGGAGATTGAGACAAACACTCAAAGGATTTCAAGTTTTTTAATTAAATTATATAAGTTTCATGATGAAATTGAAAGATTGTATTTTTTGCTAATGAAATACAAATTTCTGTTTGTAAAATATTTCCTAATAGGCGAAATTCTCCATATAAGAAATGTCAGTGACGTCAACGGGGCTTTACTCAAAACATCCGACCTACCTGTTTCGTATAGGTAACTTGGGTATAGTAGGTATGCACTATGCAGTGCCTTTGAATTACTTGCACATCTTGTTTGCACAAAAGACGACATATTCGCGGCTGCTCGAGAATGACCAGCTTGAAATTCGATGGGTGGCTTCCACAAGTACCTAGATATTGCATCATTAAGTTAACAGAGGCGGATCCATCTCAGAGTTTTTTTTTGGGGGGGGGGGGGCGGGCAAACCATAACAATTTATCGATTCTTTCCATGCATCGTCCATAGGCGTAATGTTAAAATTATGTCGTTTGGGGGAAATGCCCATTTTGCCCCCCCCCCCTGGATCCGCCACTGTAAGTTAATTTCCATTAGCTAGCACAAATCTTATGTTGCTGTAACATTACGGAAGCAAGGACTTCTCTGAGAAAAAAAAACTTTAAGTAATCAGTTTGGAAAACATGCTGAAAATAGGTTCTGTTCGGGGGTTCATGTTTGGCTTATTGCACAAAATATAGCTCCGTTACATACATTGCTTATTCCACAATGTCTGCTGGTAAAGTAGCAAAGTTTACACTGAGTAGGAAGGTCGTGTTACTTGAAAACACAAGGTAGGTATTTATAAGTACAAATCACAACTCACTTTACCATTGCCGTAATCGACTTGTGAAAGTGTGTTAGGAAGTGCGCCATTGATTGCCGCTCCTGCGCCGCGCTGGGGCACAAGTATGGCGGCTGAGTTCGATTCGGCGGTGTCACAACTGGGGCGTTAAAGACGGCCTCACACTGCGCCCGCCTGGCCATAGCGATAGCAGGTCAACCGTGTGCACCGCGACACCAAGGGTCATAATTCAGTGCCTCCTGGTGGCAATGTCGCCCTTAATGTCGGGGTGATGGAGGATCCCCTTTCACAGTTGTTCAGAGCTATTGTTTCACAATCTCATTACATGTTTTCTATAAGCATGTAATTGAATTTGAATTTGTAATTGTTTTAAACGTGTCTTACATTTCCAATTGAAAAGCGTAAAGAATAAACCGTAAACTGTCTTAAAAATCCAAACATGCCTTTATAAAAGAACTTAGCCCGAACTTCATTTCTTTAGCTAAGCTAATATTGCTTTATTCAAGACAGCATAGAAACGCGTAGAAGCGGTAGACCACAAATCTGCCAATTTCAAAGCTTTATGACCAGACATTTGTTTTCATAGTTTAGTGGTGACCTTACATGACATTTTTTTCTGAGTTCATATATTCAAAGAATTGAAGCGGTTCAGGTCTGTTTATAACCGTATCCATTTTCGTGCATTTTTAAGACATTTACGAAAAATACTTGGGTGAATCAACGTTTTTTTTTTTGCGTCACGTATGCGAACAACTACAAACTATTTAGTTGTTGCCTGTTGGCGGTTGATTGTCATTGTCCTGCACAGAGCGATAGATGAGTTGTAATACTTGCTGACCGCTGAACAATGTCGTCATGACAACCGATTGTTGTTAGAGTCGGCGTCCACGGCGTCAGATGTTACCATAGCAACCTCACTGACTCGGGAAGGGTTACGTGGCAACGACTGGAAACAATGAGAACTGCTGCACGTTGACCCAGCTCACACTTGTGACAGGAATATAACGTTCTTGGAAATCGTTGTATGTGTGGAGAGGACACATTTTTTTGGTAGGATTACTTGGGTATAATCAGAATGTGAGTGGATTTTCTATCGGTCAAGTGTCGATTATCATCTGAATTTGAATAGAAAAACACGGTTCTAACGAATGGTGTTTGTCTATTTCAAACAGCCTACTGTTATGTAGGCTCTGTTTTGCTTCACTGTGCTTTAGTTGGATCCTTTTCTGACAGCCAGCTGCGCTTTGTTGACTTAACTATAGGATCAGATGTTTTTGCTATGCAAACCAATCTCACCGATTTTTTCTCTTCTTATTTCCCCATTCTCTTTTTTTTACAATTGGACATCCATTCCTGAGAGCTGAAGTGAAAATCAATAGACGCTAAAATGTTCAATGGATGGAGTCACACAAACACATAAATATCGCCATGCTGTAGACCTGCCCCATTGCGTAACCATTTCGTGACCTTCGTAACAGGGTAACTTTGTGTGCTCAGTGCTGGTCTTCACTGAATGTCGACTATGCTGCAATGCCGTCGCTGTTGATCTATTCCATGACCTGACCTAATTGATGTTTAGCTCGATGACATTGTTTTACCGCTAGGACTAGTTAGTTGACTCGGCCTCATTTTGTATCGCTATAGTACAAAATGTGTTCACAGAATATTCTGTGGACATATGCACACGATATGCCCGCACGGTATAGTCAGGGCATTGGTTGTCTACCGACCAATATGCTGTCAAACGGATCAGCGAAACTATTATGAAAATTACAGATTATCCATTTAACGGACCAGCTCAAATGGCTGTCATTGCTGGAAGCCGTAGTGGTGTTCTCGTAAGACATCGCTGGTAGACGTGGTCATAAGGGTTTTACTTCTATGCACTCTTCGGGAGCACATGTCTTGGAAATTATGTCGTGAAAGGTATCAAAAAGAACCATTTTATTATTTTCACCTAGGTAACGATGGATGTCAGCTCCAGAGCTAGGAGCTGCTTTGGGCCCTTCTATGGCTCTGCAATTGCCCTCAGTTAAAATATATTTCCTTTGAATTACATTAAACGATCTCATTTGTCCTTTCAATCACTTATTTTAATGACGCGTAATACCTACATCGGTGACAATGTGACATTAGAATAGGTATTGATTGATAATTTACATGACGCAAATGTATATAATAATTTGACCTGCATTATGTGAATTTTCCTTTTATATTTCACATTTTGCGCACACATTTACCTACCAGTCCTGAGTTTTTGAACTTGGCGGAAATCGACATACATGTATTCTGGCGCTGTTGTGACTAAATTATGTAATTTACCACTTTCGAACAGAGGAAGGACAGTGTCCGAAATACATTCCTTTTGTATTTTAATTTTAGAACTTTTGCATTAATTCGAAATAAGGTTATTCTATAAAGATGTATGTCATTATTAAGCCCTTTTTTATAATGCACGTACTTCACCATATCCTTGGCCACTTTTAATCTCACCGTTCAATGATCTTTGCTGCCTTGACCACAACCTTTTCGAACGCTTCATAGCCCTCCATTCTTTTTCTCACTTTCAGCTGAGATCTTCTCCAGACTTAGCGTGACTTTCGTGAATTCTGTGTCTTTCGTGACTTTCGTGACTGACTATCGTGACCCCTCGCTGCCATTAAATGACTCTATGCTGATCCTCATTGACCTCTTCTGCCTCGTGCCATTAGGAACGTGACCTTCCTTGGCCCTATTGATTCAGTGCGTCACACAGACGCCATGACCTGACCTCCCCTCGTCTCTATTGGTTTCAGCGCGCTGTGCCGGCGCAATGACCTGAGCTGGGTCATCCACCGGTGCCGCGATGCCCCTTCATCAGATTAGCGTCACACCCGTGGAAAGAGCGAAGAGAGTCGAAGAGAGAGGCATGCGACATGAGGCCAAGGTCAGGACGCAGGCGCAGATGGCTGGAAAGTCGGTAGGTGTCTGAATCGATTCATTGTGTGATGTTTCGTCGGTAAGCTTTTCTGAAGTGTTTGGACACTATGTAGGTGATTTTTTTCGTCTGCCCCTCCCACAGGGGACTCTACTCTCTAGGTAAGGCTGCAGGAAGGGTGGATACAAGTGTCGAATTACATGTGGTTAGGTGAGGTCCTTGTATCCAAAAACTGCCATAGACGTAATGCTAAATACCGGATATCAAAGAGAGGACGGGCGAGGCCACCAAGTCAGATTCATTGCTCTTGCATCATGTGACTTCTCATTTTTGGCTCCATCGTCCATATGTCACAGTGCCCTCCTGTGTCCACCCCCGTTGCCCACTTTGCCTCACTATTCTGCCGACTTACGCATCACGTGACCTTTCTATGTTTGCCCCCGTTTTCAGGAGACGTTTCACGTGACCTCACCGACGCCGCCATCGGCCGCCGAGCGATGTAGCTCGAGAGCGTCCACCCTATCCTACAGCAGGGACTTCTGCAGGTGGGTCACATAAGGTCACCAAAGGTCACGGTAGGTCACTGAAGGTCACATTTCTGGGGCGATACCTACCTTAGACATAAGACGTTTTACGAACGCCAAGTATTACCTGCTAGGTAATTTGTGAACTGAAAATAATCTCTAATCATTTCGCCATATAAGAAGTGCATGGTGCTATGTTGATCGAAGAACCGAAAACAGACAGCTTACAGCTGACCGTTTTTCAACAGAGACTGTTTGTCTGAGATGCAGCGTTCTGCGGCTCTAGTTGACCGTCATGTGCCGTATAAAACAACACTTTGACTTCGATTGAGATCTCTGCCTCTATTGCGTCGCAGTCCAGTTACAATGTATTCTGAGCATTGTCTGGCGGAGAAAGGCTAGGTGCTGAATCGCAATACCGCGTACCAATGAGAGGCCGGCACTAAAATAAAAACATGGTAGCGTCTCATATATGAACAATACTGCGGAGTGAGTGGGAGATGAAAAGTAGCTTACGTAAGTGTTGATCATTGCAACATGTTGAAAGTTTCTGTTAAACAAAGCTAAACTAACATCATATCTAATCGACTTTTATAAGAATTGTGTTCTAATTTAATAAGTAAAGCATTTTGCATTTTCTATGGCATCGTGTTGCCATGTAAAGCGGGTGTTATCAGCTGATGTCGTGTCATAGGTACTGATATAAAATAAAAATAAAACAGCAATAGTAGACTGTCATTTTTTACGTTTCTTGGGGTCACCACCTCTCATACCAACCACCGTTCTGGAACTGCGGAGGAAGTATTGCACGCCTTACACCGTCACACCCTGTCACATTCAGTCACGACATTGTGACGGTACCGTAACGTGACCGTCACGCTGCCATCCCTCGCCCCGGGCCATCACCCCGTCACAGAAACGTTACGCTAGGGCTCTGCTGTAACGGAGAGGGATCCTTTTCCGCGTTACGAAACGGGAAGCCGTGTAGGAAGGCTAGAAATGCTCTGATCAGTAAGGCAACAAATATCCTGATTATTGAGGTAACAAATACCCTGATCGTTGAGATCCTTTAGGCAGCAAATACCCTTAGGTAACGCACTGGGAGAAGTGTGAAAATAATGTGTCATGATATTAGTCCTGAGCTGCCGGTTTCCCATATGTTTTAATTATCGGTGGTCGCAAAGGTTTACTGCCACGCAGTGCCGATAATCGAAAATGACACAAAAGGTCTTTTATTCGCCAGCCGTTTTGGATTCGAACTATAGCAGTTTATTAGACATCTGCGAACAACGGACAAACTATAATTGTGCACTAGTGAAGAGTAGAGTGTCAGTCAGTTGTTCTTTGCTCAACCATTTTGCTTGGGAATATGTTCTCATTGCTACGGCACAGCCCCTCTTTGCTACCAAATCTCTTGGATGAAATTTGTGTTTTGTAAACCAGGAACGCCATTTTGTGTCGTTTTTCGATTATCACCGTGATGGTGACAGCAAAACCTTACAACCGCTGATAATTTAAACATATGGGAAAGCAGAAACTTCTCTTTTTTTTTGTTCAGTTTCATAATATGTCAATGTGAGGTCGACATTGATGCTTGTTATTTGATAATATGCCGCAATAATAAAAATAATGTGTAACAATCCAGTGACGTCATTTGTCGCCCTGTTCCAGGATATGCCACTGCGAGGGCGACAGCGATGTGCCACTGATCTCTCCCTGCTACTGTGCCGGCTCACTGAGGTGAACAGCTCACGCTCTCTCTCTCTCTCTCTCTCTCTCTCTCTCTCTCTCTCTCTCTCTCTCTCTCTCTCTCTCTCTCTCTCTCTCTCTCTCTCTCTCTCTCTCTCTCCCTCTCTCTCTCTCTCTCACTCTCACTCTCACTCTCTCTCTCTTTCTCTCTCTTTCTCTCTCTCTCTCCCTCCCTCTCTCTCTCTCTCTCTCTCTCTCTCTCTGTGTGTGTGTGTGTCTCTCCCTTTTTCTGTTTATCTGTCTCTACCTCTCTCTTTTTCTCTCTATCCCTCGATGAGATATATAAAGATGGACGCTCAGATAAGACTCGTGAGTGGGCGTACCTACGTGTGTGTATTTCTTGTATATTTTAATGGCACACTTGCGTTTCGTACCTACATATGTTATCATTCGTGTCTGTAGCAGATCGTTCATGCACGTGCTACTTTCCATTCTGCGTTCCCCGTTCAGCGTTCTGTCAACATTCTGTTCTCTGTATATTTGTTCCGTTCCCCGTTGGCAGTCCTTTTCTCTGTACATTTCGATAGTCTCTACTGGATTCTCTTTCATCTCTCTACCACACTACGGTAAAACCAGTTCACGTTCCGTTCTCTATGTTCCACAGGCGCGGATACAAGGGGGGGGGGGCCATGGGGGCCATGCCCCCCCCCCTTGGCCGATTTTTTTTCAAAAATAAAATAAAAAGTTAAAAAGTTAAAAAGCTGAAAAGGGGGCCTCCTGAAAATAAAGTGGCCGAAATCCGATGAGTTTTTTTTAACCTACCCACTTAGTTATTTCTTAGAAGACTAGCTGAGAAGACTTCTTTGTTAGAAGATTGGTAAAGCTTTTCATAACTTGGAGGTCTCTTATACTCACAGAGATGACCACTTTTACAGGGCCTCCTAACCTGCACAGAGGGCCTCCAAGCCTGCACAGATGTTGAGATGTTGCCTGAACAGCTAGATAAGCTCAATAGACGCAGTTTTTTTTTGTGGGGGGGGGGGCAACAAGTGGGAAGATGGGGCCTCCAACAGGTGGGATTATGGGGGGGGGCCTCCTGGTTTCTAATGGCCCCTCCCTTGGAGATTTTCTGGATCCGCCCCTGATGTTCCAGATATGTCCACTAGGCCTGTCTTTATGTAGTTAGGATTTTAAATGACCTTTTCCTCGATAATTAATTGGAAATTCAATAAAAAGTAAATATTGTATTGTTTGGCAAATTTTCGAACAACAGTTCATTCTCAAGCCACATGAAACAATATATTGTTTCATGTGGCTTGAAATGAAACAACGTGAAACAAATATTGTTTCATGTGGCTTGAGAATGAAATGTTGTTCGAAAATTTGCCAAACAATATAATATTTACTTTTTATTGAATTTCCAATTAATTATCGAGGAAAAGGTCATTTAAAATCCTAACGACATATATCAAGATGTTCCTCGCTTGAGCACTGCATACTATTTCTTCATAGGCCTGTCTTTAATAGAATGTTTCGTTATCCGTTCCATTAACGCTGCGTTACCCGTTCCAGGTATGTTCACCAGGCGTGTCTGCAGCAGTGGATCAAATCCTCCGACATACGGTGTTGCGAGCTCTGCAAGTTCACCTTCATCATGCAGACCAAAACCAAACCGTTCAACATGGTAAGATACGGTGGTGAACATGGTAAGACATGGCACATCGATTCGGTAAAATGGTGTAAAATGAGCTTGTCGGTACTAGAAAATGTTCACTGTCATGGCGATCTGTCCGACTGAGTCCGGTAAACTTTCTTGGAAGCAATCGAAATTCACTATTCAGTATGGTTAAATTGTCTGTTCATGCCTGTAAACTAATAAGGCCTACTGAAATGATAACATTGACTTTGGAAGCCATAAACAAAATGGCATAATTTATCCAGGCCGTTGCTTGACGTTGACGTTGCTCTGTAAACAATTGGACACATTTTCAATAAGACGCTTCTCAATGTGGCTTCTACAGTCGTACGACCACCCGAGTCTACATCTTGCTTACTCCGCCCAACGCCCGCTCCCACTCCAGCTCCACCTCTAACCCCTTCTAACACCGACTCTGACCCCGACTCTAAGCACTGACCCCAGCCACTCCAGGCCTACACCGACTCTATCTCCACTCTAACTCCAACTCTAACTCCCTCCCACTCTCTCCAACAGTGGGAGCGGCTCGACATGGCCTCCTCCGAGCGTCGCAAACTCCTCTGCTCCGTCACCTTTCACGTCGTCGCCCTGACCTGCGTGGTCTGGTCACTGTACGTTCTCATTGAACGTACGACCGAGGAGGTGCACTCTGGGGTACTCGGCTGGCCTTTTTGGACAAAACTTATCGTTGTGGCCATCGGCGTCACAGGAGGGATAGTGTTTATGTATGTGCAGTGTAAAGTCTACGCACAGCTTTGTAGAAGGTGGAGGGCGTACAACCGGGTTATATTCGTACAGAATGTACCCGAAAAGGTACCTCCGGCCGATTTGGAGATGGGGAGGGTCACGGGGACGGGAGGGGGAGCGGGGGATGGGTCGGCGGCGGGACAGGGGGCGGGGGAGGACGCGAGGGGGAGTGTGGGGGAGTGGGCGGTGCCTGTGGCGGCGGGGGCGGGGGCGGGGGCGGCGGGGGCGACGCGGAGAGTAAGCACCGACGAGGCTGGCAGGGTGCACGTCACGATCGAACGGAACATTTCCGGAGCGCTGGTGCTGCCACCTATAGTCGCCGTGACCGGTAGTGCACCAAGTTCGCCGCCAGAGGCGCTGCTGTCGTCACCGCTGGGAGCGCCAAGGTCACCGCCAGGGGCGCCACGGTCGCCAGAACTGCCTCAAATGCCGCGGTCGCCTTCTGTGGCGATATCTACGGACAGTGTGGACGCCGCTGCTGCTCCTGTGTCGGACCACATGCGATGAGCCTGACATCTAGCGGCCGAGTGAGGAGAAGCTGCAGTGCGCCGGGTTGCCGATAGGTGTCGCTGCTGGCAACTGTGATTGGTTAGTTCCGGGCTACGAGTAGCAGCGCTGCGAGTAGATCGGTCGATTGAAGCCGCGTTCGTCCATATGCTTCAAGTGTATTGTACAGTTTTACTGACTGGTGGGCGAGTGTTTTCACTTAGGGCACTTCAACGCATATTGTGATCGCGCTTTTAGACAATCGAATGCATCCTTCAGAACCTGAACATTTGCTTAGGTATCGGTCTTCGAAAATCTATGAAGTTAGGAGGGATAGTGTGCGTTTCAGCTATCCCTAAATCTTACCTTAAAAGTTTTCCTTGCATTCCTAACAGTAGCATCGTTTTTCCTTTTCACATTTCACCAAGTTAATCTTAGCCTAAAAGTCATGTAAATATTCATTAACCTATGTGCAGCCTGCAGGACGTCATTCTACTCATTTTTCGGTCATTATACTCAGGGACCATTGGACATTACAGGTTTGCGCTTCATCTCTTGGAATTTCGGCAACCCCCGTGCAGCGAAGTGTTTCGGTAATGCGTGTAATTTTATTACCGTTGTTGCTTGGTGTTCACCAGGGCTCTGTTTCACGGCACGACGCTACAACGTGCGCTATGCGTATCGCGGCATTGCGTTTCTAAGGAAACAACAACAAACTCGGGCGCTCCAACATTGAGAGCGTCTGAGTTTGTTGATGTTTCCACGGAAACCCATTACCGTAGCGTAGCACACTGTAGCGTCGTGCCGTGAAACAAGGCCCAATGCATTCGCTCACCGTTGATATTTCAGGCTAATCGCAAGATCCATAAGTTTGCTTATTTTTAGTACGATATTGTTGCAAACGAAATTGTTTTAACAATGTTGGGGATATCCAAATCAAACAAAAATATGTTTACGAGGGTTCAGATACTGCCTTTGAAACTTTGCGACTCGCTTAGATTCTGGCGAGTGATTGCATCCGCGTAAAAATAGTCGATCTTTTGAAAAAGTCGCATGAAAAGTAACCCAGCGTTAAGTCGCCCGTTAGCATATGTGCACATGAACTAGCGCGATGCACATATGTGCACGCTGCTCACGAACACACGGCAGTCGGTAAGCTCACACGGTATTCTACCATGGTTTGTGGTGGTGTTTTGTGATATGTACCGACTGTGTTTGGACGTTTAATGGCTTTAATAGGTGTTTAACTGTGTTATCTGTGATTTGTTTGACGGTAAATACCTACGCGCAATGCGTGGTCATAATTTATGCTGTACCCAGCTGTACCTATACGATGTTTAAGTTATATGAATCAAAGTCCGTTATATGGAGCGAGATTTTCGAAATGGTGACTATTCTAAGTCCAGTGTCCGTACTAGTGTACTGATATGTGCTGCTCATACATGGTGTAAAAATCGTACACTGCTGCTTTTGGTTGGATGGGAGAACTGAACCGTTTTTCTATATCTCACGATTTTTTTTTCGCAGAGACATGTTAGTTTTGAATGTTTCCAACTCCACATAAAACTCTCCTCTGTAGCCCGTAGATATTTTGTCGTCACGTATGTAGGAGCTCGCTGGCACAAAACCCATTTTATGTGTCAGAACTGCCTAAAGTATGAATTTGTGAACAGATGCATAAGTTTGTAAAACACACTCACGGCAGTACGATACAATCGTCTCAATAAAATGTGTGAGCTGTGAAAAACTGCATACAAACATTGCAAGGTAAATGCTTTACAGTTTATTGGCATAATCATGGCGAGCATTGGTTGATATCTGGTAAGTAGGTATATACCGTAGAGCTCTGCAACTGAATAACCATCGAAACTCTGCAAAAATGTACAAGAAACAATATCGAGAAAAGAGGGTCTAAACAAAAAGGCACCTCTCCTGGTCTCCACCAGAAATGTAAAATACAAGCTATAGGTACACTATCTCTGCAAGGCTCTTGGTGATCTAAGCATTATTAACCATATAGCATTTGCATCATAAAGCCATGACCGGAATGCAGCGTAGATTTTATGACTAAAACAGTACTCGTATATACGGCACCGATAACTTATATTCGGTGTGCTTTTACTATATGTGATATTGCTCAGTTGTTATGTGATATTGCAGTTATAAGAGAACCAATGTTTTTCTAAGCAACCACATCACCAAGTGGAACGGTCACTGACGCATGCTCCCGTCTTCGTGACGTCTGGCAGCATGATTTGCATTCACACTATGACGTCATTCGTGCGACCCCCATCCGTATGACGTCACTTCAGTCATAGTGTTCAGACAGAGGTGACGTCACCAGTCGGTGTGTGACATCACCACTCAGTAGGGGCTGACGTCAAAGTCGACGGCCATGCTCTCAAAGCCGCACATGTCGTTCCCGCGCTCGATTCTGTGGGCAAGAGCCAGTGACGTCATAAGTCAGCGGCAGGAATGGCGGCGTTTTGATCAATGAACACAAGCCGTAGACATATATGTAGTATAGCTACTTCACCATTAAACGTGAACCTCAGTCGACTGTTCAGTCAAAGAAAGAGGAGCAAGACTGTGATTGAACGGGTATTGCAAAAGAACTCCGTTGGGCTTTGTCTTCTCACTTTCGTGTCTTCCCACTCAGAAACTGATCTGAACACCTGAAGGCGTCTGCCCCCCCCCCTCTCTCTCTCTCTCTCTCTCTCTCTCTCTCTCTCTCTCTCTCTCTCTCTCTCTCGCTCTGTCTCTCCAGTCTCCACTCTCTAAACTCACCTGAAGAAGCCCTTCTCACCCCACTCCTCTCCCCAGGAGTTTTTGACGATCCAGTATTTCTTTCCGTTCTCTACTCCATAACCGACTAGGAGCACGGCGTGATTGGTCAGCTGAAAACACGGACGTGACGTCATTGGCTGCAAACAGCGTGACGTCACCAACGTCCAAACATTGCCGAGACTGTCCGTATAGGAGAATTTCCGAAGAAAATCGGTTATTTTGTTTTCTATACGGGAAACATACAGACGTATTTTTGGATGTTATGGGGAGGGGATTGTGCCTCACGCCTGATGAATATCCGCGTTTTTGCAATATCGCGTCTCATCTCCAATCAGAAACCAAGGTGATATAGTGGAAATCCCTTCATCGGGCTGCGAAATCCCTTTAGTCGCTCCCGGGCTGCGACTAAAGCACGCATCACAAATGTTCGTAGAACATAACGAAGGTCGATATGTAGACACAAAACTAAAAAAGCATATAAGCAAAAACGAAGCAGAAATAGCGCCCCACCTCTAGCGGATCGAAGCCGAACTGTCTCGTTTCGGTGACATGCCGATAGATGCCGCCCTTGTAGCTCTGGAAGTCGGGATATACCTCGAAACCAACAGGGAGCGGTCCCTTCTTCACCAAAGTACGCATCATTTCTAACTCACTGCAGCCGCCGAAAAACCCTGGAATGGTAGTGGCGGTGATGATCGTGATCTGTTTGTCTTACGCTAGAACGTAGAAGGATTTAGTTTTGCTAGGCCTCATTCTTTTAACGGTAATTGCGCTTTGCACCAATGGCGGGTATTACCCTACGCTACGGTCCAATCACCTCCCAGGTATTTGAACTAGCATGTGTATAGTGCATAGTCCCTAGCGGCAGGTCTCGCCCGTAGTGCAATTCTCCGTGTAGGGGTTTTGAACCACGCTTACCTCCCACGTATTTGTATTGATAGGTGTAAACCCTACGGCAGGTCTCGTCCGTAGTGCAATTCTTCGTGTAGGGGTTTTGAACCACGCTTACCTCCCACGTATTTGTACTGGTAGGTGTAAACCCTACGGCAGGTCTCGTCCGTAGTGCAATTCTCCGTGTCCTTGCCCATGTACGGGTTACAGGCTTCCACCACCACGCCGTAATCCTGTGGAGAAATGGATATAGCGGTCGATATGGAACAAACTCTATAGCCTTGGAACAAACTACATATCGTGCGAGGCAATACCGATGAGTTCCCGATGTTCCCGATGAGGAGAACACGCAGAAGTGTTGGAAACAAAAGTTAAAGGGACCCTCCCACCTTCAAAAAAGTTTATGAATTGGCATGAAAGTGATGTCGCTCGGTTCAGAAAGAGCGAAAACGAACATCTACCAAATTTCACCGAAAAATATTCACCGGTTTTCAAGATATTAGACTTTTACTTTTGCTTACTTTTTTTTGGGATCTCCGCTGTTTCTAGCGACTTTATTTTAGAAGTGCGGCGTTTGCGGCAGATGTTGCGCGCAAGTAGCATATACCACCGCGTGCTACAAAACGTTTTAGTCAAACATTTAAAAATCGTTAGATATATGCGCTGACGTCACACATTCAGAGGGGTATTCCTAAGCATTGGCCCCTCTGAATCAAAATGCTGCAATTTTGAAATTCAATATTTCTGATTTAAGGTATTTCTCGATGTTGTGAGTGCCGAAACCGGTAATTGTGAGCCAGGGACCCCATTTTGGCTATCTCAACTCAAATCTAATGTTAAGGTGGGAGGGTCCCTTTAAAGCGCATAGTCGTTGTTTACGACGAGTTGTTTAAATTTCAGAACTTGCAATCTTGCTGATGTACACTTTTCATTACCAAGTGAAGGGAAACCTCTGCGCCTTGTGAGCTTTATGGAACATCCCTGTTCTGAAACCAGCCGCTAAACCTGCCGTCACTCATGTCGTACGTTATTTCTCTGAACCATGAGCTGCTGAACCTGTTGTAACTCACCATGCCGTATTTCCCTGCGATCAAATAGGGAAAGCCGCCGGAGCATCCTTGGCTGAATTCACTGCAGCTAACTATGTCCTGTGAAATAGATATACAATATAAATGACGTCATTTGAGAGCCGCCCGAGCAGCCCTGGCTGAACTCACTGCAGCTGACAATGTCCTGTGAAATAGATATACAAGATAAATGACGTCATTTGAGAGCCACCGGAGCAGCCCTGGCTGAACTCACTGCAGCTGACTATGTCCTGTGAAATAGATATACAATATAAATGACGTCATTTGAGAGCCACCGGAGCAGCCCTGGCTGAACTCACTGCAGCTGACAATGTCCTGTGAAATAGATATACAATATAAATGACGTCATTTGAGAGCCACCGGAGCAGCCCTGGCTGAACTCACTGCAGCTGACTATGTCCTGTGAAATAGATATACAATATAAATGACGTCATTTGAGAGCCGCCCGAGCAGCCCTGGCTGAACTCACTGCAGCTGACTATGTCCTGTGAAATAGATATACAATATAAATGACGTCATTTGAGAGCCGCCCGAGCAGCCCTGGCTGAACTCACTGCAGCTGACTATGTCCTGTGAAATAGATATACAATATAAATGACGTCATTTGAGAGCCGCCCGAGCAGCCCTGGCTGAACTCACTGCAGCTGACTATGTCCTGCAATAGCGAACAAATGACGTCATTGGGATTGGTAACGTCATTGAAATTATTTGAGCAAGGCAGGCTGTGCCAACAAATGAAGGTATGAAAAACCCGAAAGGTAATTAACTTGGAAAGAAACACCGAGTATATAAATGAGATTAGGTAATCGTCATTAAGGAAACTCGACGTATAGTAAGTTATACTAAAAATGACATAGACATCGATATTAACAACGTGTATCAACTGGTAAGATCGTGTCTCAGGAGTGAGATGAGACCAAGATCTCACCTGGGGTGAGAACACGGAGCGGCGCGTGTTGTTGGTGAGAATTCTCACGCGCGCCTCGAGAGCTCCCATCGAGGCAAAGGCGTAACATGAGCCGCAGGCGCCCTGGTTCCTGGCAACACGGCACACACAAAGGATTTGTAAGGGTGGCATGTTCATGCGTCAGAGAAAAGCGGAAGGCAAGAGGTTAATATTTAGTGTTTTATGGCTCCTGTGCCACGCCAGGGACGTCTGCACACTAAGTTGACTACATCAACTCGTTCTGTAGTCATACTTCACCGAAGATATGAAATACGACACTTTCCTTCCTCTCAAAGTCCTACATAAGGCTGGTGATACATGACCTTCCTCTCCCAGAAGTCCTTCCTCACGGAAGATCCATATGACGTAACTGACACACTCACCCTTTCCACAAGCCTTACCGCGCCAATCCTAAACGTAATTTTTAACCTTCCTCTCATCCGAGTCCTTGTCAAACCCGGGACAGCATGACCTTCCTCTTCAACCAGTCTCACTTCACGGCCGAGACACGTTTGGTATAGTTGACAGAACCATCCCATCCACAAGTCCTGCCTCGCCCGTGCCACGAGTCAGGGCCTCCTCTAAGGATTTTTCACTGGGTGGGCAAAATTTTCGCTACTCCCCTGCCCAAGGGCGAATCCAGCCACTGTTTTGGGGTTCAACCAATTTCAAAACCTGTTACCGGGGGGGGGGGGGGGTGAGGCGAAATAAGCAGTGCCGTTATTGGAAATAAGATAATAGTTTGCAAAGTTAACGTTTGTCGTATGTTTTATGGTTAGCGATGCTCGAGCGATTCGTTCCAGAGTTACATGTATGTACAGCCCTCCGCAAACTGCGTGGTAGGTATTCTTATTCGGTATTCTTGCTATTTTGACAATGTACCAGTTTTTGTGACCTTGTGACCTGGCCTCGGGTCACTGGAACCTAAAACTCCAAGGCCAAGTGACAAACAGGTGCTCCAAGTCGTGTCTTAAATTTGGTAGCGCTACGTGCAATAGAACTCACGCTATCAACAAAAAACTCTGGCATTCGGTTGCCGCTAAACTAGTCCAATTTTCCCCTGACCTTGTACGGGGTTTGTGACCTGGTGACCTGACCTGAAAAGACTAGAGACCTGGAATTTTCAGGACAAGTGCCAAAAGGTTGCCCCAGAGGGTATGCCAAATTTGAGCGCCGCCGTTTTTACGTTATTTGTGAAAAACCTTAGGGGGGTGCATCAACCCCCCTCATAATACATTGTACATTGTAACATAATACATTGTAATAATACATTGTTAACATTGTTATAATACATTGTTACATTGTTACATTGTTAATACATTGAAATAATACATAACATAATACATTGTAGTAAAGGCTACCCGAACCGGTAATGATTCTTGCTTATTTGTTTAGCTCAGCCGTATTTAGAGATTTAGCTGGCTTTGTCCATGAATAACAATATCGGCAGGGGCGTAGCCAAGGGGGAGGGGCCACGGGGGCAATGTCCCCCTCCCTTGAGCGCAAAACGCGCCATAGGGGAGCCCCTCAGGCCCCGGGACATTTTTTTTTTTCAAACACTGGATAAAACGTCTTTTACTCGGAAGAAAATTGATATCGAAGTTTCATTTCTGTGGCCCTCTGATGACCCAATGGGCCCCTGCACTCATCCGATGACCCCCGGTTTCCTGGGGCCCCTGGTCGCCTAGAGGGCCCCGGTCGCTTGGGGGCTGGTCGCCTGGGGGCCTGGTCGCCAGGCTCCTGCCCCCTGGTCGCCTGGAAGAACGCTTGTCACCAGGCAGTGGCATAGCCAAGGAGGGGGCCAAAGGGACCATGCCCCCCCGCCCTGGAAGCCAGGGGTCCTTATTCTATAGGGGCCCCTGGCCGACACAGTGGGCCCTTGGCGACGCAAAGGCCCCTGCGGCAGATCCTTTGACACAGCTGAGTAGTTATACTTTGGCCAAGAGAGCCCCAATTTTAGAGCCTTGGGGCCCTATTGAAACCAGGGGGCCAGTTGGATAGGATGGGTCCAACTTGGGTCCAACGGTATGTAAACAGAATCAATGCGTTCCGACTGTTGGTCTGACCCTATATCGGTTTGAGGGGGCTCGGATCGGATCCACTGTCGATCTGAGGGGTCCCTATCGGTTTGAGGAAGCCTTCAAATGCCCTGAACGGGTCCTTAGTTTGTCTGAGAGAGCCCTCCGTCGGCATGACTGGGCCTCTGCAAGTGCAAGGAGGGCTTTTGTCGGTCTTAGTGGCCCTTAGGCGGCTTATATGACCCTCAGACGGCTTACGAGGCTCTCATGCGCTGTAGGGGCCTGTGACGGTCTGAAGAACCCTCATCCGACCTACGGGCCCTCAGACCGCCCTCAAAACCGACTGGCGACTCTATGAAGCTATTCGTGGGCCTATCTAACAGGGCCCATGGACTGCTTACCCCCTCAGTTCTAATATTTTTGTTAATAAATATTTTTCTATTTATTTTGGCCCCCTCCAAAAAATATTGGATCCAACCAGATGGCTTTTTGGATTTTGAGGGGGTTATTTTGGGCCCCTGTGCGTTTGACCCCCTCCTCGAGGAAATTCTGACTACGCCCCTGAATATCGGGCAACCAGAAAACTTTTTTTTTTACCTTCAAACAGCATCCAGTTTGCTGTTCGCAAACTGGATGCGAACAGAAAGAAAGTCCAGAAAGGTAGTACCGGACGACCGGCCGGACCAGAATTTTTGCATTTGCTTCTGGGTGGGCAAATCGACGCCACTGGGTGGGCAATTGTGGTGACTTGGTGGACATTTGCCCACCCAGTGGGTATGTTAGAGGAGGCCCTGCCACGAGTAACTGCAGTCCTCATAATGCTATTACATAGGCACAATGTAGTTTTCCTTCCCCTCACAAAGTACATCCTTACTAGTGACAAATGACTTTCTTCTGCCACAAGTCCCATCTCCCGCACCATCCCGCGCGTAATGAGTAGACCCATTTCTTCCACAGCTCTTATTACCTCACGGAAAAGTCTTAGTATCACGCTTATCCAGCTTCTTACTGATTGCCTACCAGTATATCCAAGGCCCTAAAACATAAGGTTGGACGAAGTTTTCTACCAAAAATGTACTAGAATAGCGTACGAGTCAAAGCTATTTCCGTTGTTTCTTTACAAATATGTCGCAAACAAGCTTTTTCCGTAATAAATCATTATTTCGAAGTTAAGCAACCAGTTGCTATAAATTCGATAAGCAAACACTTATTTTTTATATAAAAGCCTAGCTTATATAGTCTCACTCTAGTTGAATAATCAAGTAGCTACTAAATTTTCCAGATGTGACACATATTGCGCACTTCAGACAAATGCGTTGCTAGGGCGTTGCTAAGGACTCTTTCGCATGTTTTGCTGGGTGGTTTTTGTTATGAAGTGAGGGAAGTGAGATGGACAGGCTTTTTGATATTTTTTTCTGGTTTTCTCTAGGACCGTCGCAATTATTTAACTTAACATACTTTTCTTGCTTTTTTAACCGAGGCTTTTTCAATAATTGGTAGATTCTATCGTGGAAATAAAAGGGCCAGCAGGCCACAGGGGTAAATTTGCAAGTCGACTGATGTGAAATAAAAGGTACAAATGTTTGTTCCATTAGATTTAATGTGATGTGATGGAACATGAAGCAACAGGAGCAGACGCAAGAACCAGCAATTAAGAACCCAGAACCAGCAAGCGCCATGCCTCAAGAGCAGCCATGGTAACGTTTGATTAGCTTTCAGAAAACCTTGAAACTAGACGCCAGACGGTGAGCACTGAGCAATCAAGAGATCTTACAAGACCAGTAGTTACTTGAAAACGAGAGCCGCCAGGAAAATCAGTAGATTCTTCAATGGCAACACATTTCAACATCTATCTAGCAATGATTTGCACCAGCGAGGTGCTATCATTGTGTTTTGTGTCTGTATCCCTAACTGCTAAAAAAAATACTAGTCAATAAATAAACAAACAAATAATGCGTCTTTTTCTACTGAAAGTAAGTCCTCCAAGTGGCAAGTGATGAATAATAGAAGGTACCTAATTTAGTAATTAATTGCCGTCTATTCATTCAATTCATAAATCATAGGCAATTCAGGGCATCGATCGGCAGCGCCCTTAATGCATGGTAGGTACTGCGGATCGTCCATGGGTTTCTTGATGACTCCGACTCTGACTCAGACTTTCAAAAATCAACTCTGACTTTGATTTCAAATGTCGACTCTGACCGACTCCGACTCCACAGCCCTAGCAGGTCTGCGGAGGCAATGGATTTTTGGTGACTCCGACTCCGACTCTGGCTTTCAAAATCGACTCTGACTCTGACTCTGGTCAGAACTGTCGACTCCGACCGACTACAAATCCGACTACGGAACCCTGAAAGGTCTGCGGAGAGGATCGAATTTCGGTAACTGACTCAGACTCCAGCTTTTAAAATCGACTCTGACTCCGACTCGACGACTCAGGTAAGAACTGTCAACTCCGACCGACTTCATGACTCAGACTCCGGAGCCCTACTGGCAGCTATCACGCCACGGAGCTGCAAATCATATGTTCCGTGGCAGTTTATGGCATTAAAGTCGATAATGCGGCTGAATCGCACTATGAAACACCCTTATTGGCTGCAAGAACCACGAAGGTTAGCGCATCACCACTGGAAAACGTGACAAGATATCGAATAATTGGCCCTGGATTTGGATAAATAACATGTTGATGATCATATTAGCACACATTTACATTATCATCTATCTCAAGGTTGCCCTCCAGGCGGATCTAAACTATGGCAATTTCCCTATCTTCAACATGTAAATGCCCTCGGGCGTCCTCGTGGTGACGTAGGCATGGGAGTGCCAGGTTGGTAGGAACTAGACTTCGACGCCCCCTGAGTATATCCATCCCTTCCGTAACTCCTATACCTGACGGGTAACACGTAGTTAGCTGACTCTCCCATAACTCCTACCTATAACTGGAGACACGTAGCTGACCTTTCCCTTCCACAACTCCTACCTGACAAGTAACACGTATAGTTAGCTGACTCTCCCATCCTACCTATAACTGGAGACACGTAGCTGACCTTTCCCTTCCACAACTACCTGACGGGTAACACATAGTTAGCTGACTCTCCCATAACTCCTACCTATAACTGGAGACACGAAGCTGACCTTCCCCTTCCAAAACTCCTACCTGACTGGTGACACATAGTTGACGGACCCTCCCATAACTCCTACCTATAACTGGAGACACGTAGCCGACCTTTCCCCTCCACAACTCCTACCTGACGGGTAACACATGACTCTCCCATAACTCCTACCTATAACTGGTGACACGTAGCTGACCTTTCCCTTCCACAACTCCTACCTGACTGGTAACACATAGTTAGCTGACTCTCCCATAACTCCTACCTATAACTGGAGACACGTAGCTGACCTTACAACTCAGACTGGGTAACACATAGTCAGCTGACTCTCTCATAATTCCTACCTATAACTGGTGACACGTAGCTCACCTTTCCCCTCCAAAACTCCTACCTGATGGGTAACACATGACTCTCCCATAACTCCTACCTATAACTGGAGACACGCAGCTGACCTTTCCCTTCCACAACTCCTACCTGACTGGTGACACATAGTTAGCTGACTCTCACATAACTCCTACCTATAACTGGAGACACGTAGCTGACCTTTCCCTTCCACAACTCCTACCTGACTGGTAACACATAGTTAGCTGACTCTCCCATAACTCCTACCTATAACTGGAGACACGTAGCTGACCTTACAACTCAGACTGGGTAACACATAGTTAGCTGACTCTCTCATAATTCCTACCTATAACTGGTGACACGTAGCTCACCTTTCCCCTCCAAAACTCCTAACTGACGGGTAACACATGACTCTCCCATAACTCCTACCTATAACTGGAGACACGTAGCTGCCCGTTCCCTTCCGCAACTCCTACCTGACTGGTGACACGTAGTTGACGCCGTCGACGTCTCTCCAGTCCCACTCCCGCGGCAGACGATCCATCTCCATCTGTTCTGAGACGGTGGTGTAGCGATCTCCGCGTCTGGTCAGACCGTACACCCTGGACAGGTGTCCTCCCGAGCGGCGCTGCATCTCTGGGTGGTGTGAGAATGGGGGCGTAAGTATCGCTCTGGATAGACCATACACCTTGGAGAGGTGTCCTCCCGAGCGGCGCTGCATCTCTGGGTGGTGTGAGAATGGGGGTGTAAGTAAGGCTGTACACCTTGGACAGCTGTCCTCCGGAGTGGCGCTGCATCTCTGGGTGGTGTGAGAATGGGGGTGTATGTACCAGCTGGCTGGTCTCGCACTCTGGACAGGACAGGTGTCCTCCCGAGCGGCGCTGCATCTCTGGGTGGTGTAAGGGAGGGGTGTAAGTATCACTGTACACCTTGGACAGGTGTCCTCCGGAGCGACGCTGCATTTCTGGGTGGTGTGACAATGGGGGTGTAAATACCAAGGTAGGTACGTTTTTCGGCTACTAGTCGTTTATTGTTTTCGTTTCGAATTTACGAGTGTAAATACCAGCTGGATAGACCATACACCTTGGACAGGTGTCCTCCCGAGCGACGCTGCATCTCTGGGAGGTGTGAGAATGGGGGTGTAAGTAAGGCTGTACACCTTGGACAGGTGTCTTCCCGAGCGGCGCTGCATCTCACTGGGTGGTGTGAGAATGGGGTGTAAATATCGGCTAGTTAGACTACAAGTACACACCCAATAGAGGCGTCCTCCTGAGCGGCGCTGCATGTCTAAACAGTGTGAGAGACTCAAGAGACGAACCGTTATGGCAACCGTTAGTAATATCTTTTTGAATCATCAGAGAAAGAAATGTATTTTTTTTCTCTCTCTCTCTCTCTCTCTCTCTCTCTCTCTCTCTCTCTCTCTCTCTCTCTCTCTCTCTCTCTCTCTCTCTCTCTCTCTCTCTCTCCCTCACACTTTCCCTATCTCTTTCCTCTCCATCTCTCTCCTCATCCACCACATATAGTTAGGTACTCCTACACATCGTTTATGTCCTGAATATAGCGCCGCGTCTCTTACCTTTTCTGGTGAATCTCTCGTGCTGCGGATAGAAGGCAGCCTTCCAGCCGAAGTCCCCTCCGTTGACGTATTTAATGATCTGCCTGCTGTTTTTGTGCATCACTTTGTCGGAGGCCTCCCGCACCATCTGACGTAGAAAACGGTGCGTTAACGTGGCAGATCCGATGGACAGAAAGTCGACTGTATTACATATGGCCACAGGAATGGAAAGAACACCTAACTGATTGGAAGAGGAAGCTAGGGTGATAATAGTTACGAACTTGAGGGAAGATTGAGGTACCAACCCTTTCGAAGTGACATTTTTTTCAAGAAATCTACGAAGGAACAGAAATTACAGTGGATAGGTTACCCAGCTTAGGATAGTTAGATAGTTAACAGGATAGTTACCCAGCTTTTTCAAAGAAGAAAATTATCCATAGCAAAGCAACCAACATTTCGCTTATAGAAATCGGGCAACCGTTCACCAATCCACCCTTTTCCAGCATTCTATCAATCCCTACCACAGAGTACCTACCTAAACGCCCTGTCATTACCATATGTTTTGATGGCGCTGCCGTGACGCCCGTCTTGTGTCCCCGGAAGCAGGCCCAGTTGTGACCGGTGACGTCATGAGTCCACCCGACGCGCGTCTGGTGACACAGGCTGGTCACCTCGCCCGAGGCGGATGTAGAGTAGTCGCTGAACGCAAAGTACACCCGACCCATAATGCGCACTTCGAAACCCTGCAAATGGGCGGGAGGTGGTAAACACAAGATGGCGCCGGTTTTGGTAGCGATGGGTGGAAGAAGGTGACTGGTGTATATTGATGGAGACAAGTAGAAAAACACGGAACAAATAGTGCATGGACGCGTTTCGATTATTAAATCTTCATCAGCATGACATAATCACAGAGAAAACAAGATATAGCACACAAACATTCGAGCTCGTCACAGTGCAATCGTCTTGATTTTAAAAATTCATGCATATGACATATTAGCTACTAATCCACCTGTAGGAGAATATCCACGAAAAAAATGATAGCAAAATAGATCACTGACATACATATGACACATGGATAACAACAAATTTGTACAGAACGATCATGAACAAGTAGGTACTTATTCAAACTAATGACGCGTCTTCTTTAAACTATACATCGCCGCTGGTTTTGCCCATTTCATCGAACCCACCCTAATATTAATCGTTTCGTTCATTGCTATAAATGCCGCCTCTGTCGCCTTCCGATTGTCTTTGTTTTTACATAATGCTATAATTTCTGCCCCGTCCCATCTTGGTAAATGATGTGTTTTCTGAGCATGAATTACTACCGCGCTATGTTCTGCGTTGTTTCGCATGTCCCGCTTATGTTCCTTTAATCTAACGTCTAAGCCCCTCCCGGTTTCCCCTATATATGATTTGTCACAAGAACCACAAGGAATCTTATACACTAAACTTTTTTCTTCTCCATTTCTTTTTGTGTGGTTTTTTAGGATATCCCCTACCTTTGTTCCCGAAGAGAAAGCGATTTTAAATCCAGTCATTTCAATCTGTTTCGCTATCATCTCGGCTGGTTTCGAATTGGGAAGTGTTATATATCGTTCGGTTTTCTTCGTCTTTGTTGTCGCGCTTCGCTTTCGAATATTGATAGCTTTTCTTTTCAAGTTGACTAGAAATCCTTTGGGGTACTTTAACTTCGTGAACGATGCCATGATGTGCTGAATCTCTTCATCTATAAACTCTTCACTACAAATGCGATACGCTCTAAGGAAAAACCCCAAAACAATCCCACTTTTAACCCGATCATTGTGTCCAGAATAGAAATGTACGTACGACTCTTTGTTTGTAGGCTTTCGATACACTTTAAATTTTGGCTGACTCCCACGTATGATCACAGTATCAAGAAATGCAATCGTCCCGTTGCTTTCTTTCTCAAGTGTAAACTGAATCTTTTCCTCTACCGAGTTAAGTCTATCAAGTTTGTCCTCTAAGTTCGTTTCTTTTGGCACTACTACGAGGATATCATCAACATAACGCAACCAAATTACGCTACTGCCCATGATGCCCTGATAATGGTGCTTTTCGAGCCACTCCATGTACAAACATGCCGCCACCGGACTCAGTGGTGACCCCATGGCTAGTCCCCTATGTTGACTATACTCGTCAGACTGAAATTGAAATCCCCCAAAGTTAAGGCACATTGCAAGTAATTTCAAATAGTCATCTTTTGGCACAGGTAACTGTTCGGAGTCCATATTCGCTACTACAGATTTGATCGCCTCTAACGCACCGTCTACCGAAACGTTGGTAAACAAAGACTTCACATCGAAACTAGCCAGGAACTTATCTGATAAGTCCATGTCCTTGATCTTGTCCATGAGATCCTCAGTGTTGCGGAGATGTGCGTCACTGATCGTGCCCAACGTGCTTGAAAGAGGCCTGGCCAAGACCTTCGCGAGTCGGTGTGGAGCACTGCCGATCCCTGACGTTATCGGTCGCATCGGAACATTCGTTTTGTGTAGCTTCGGGAGACCGCGCATTCGTGGTGCAGCAGGCGCCTCTTCTAGCAGATGGAGAAGATTTTTCCCTTTTTCGGATTTCTTGAGTACCTGTCTTGCTTCTTGATTGAACTTCTTACTAATTTTGTCCGTGTATCCCGAAGGTTTCTTTTCGTATGTTTCAGTGTCTTGGAGTAGGTCATTCATTTTCTTTGTGTAGTCATCAATGTCCATAATCACCAATCCACCTCCCTTATCTGCCTGGGTGACAATCACGGACGAATCCTTGGCTAATCTTCTCAACGCTTCCATGTATCTCCTTGGCAACTTATCAGCCTCCTTATCAGCTAGAGCTTTACAGCATAACAGCACGCCTTGAATAAAACCCTTTTCTACATCTTCATCGTTCCATCTAGTGTTGCGACGAATATGATCCACATATTGATTTTTGTCCTTCCCCGTATCAAACTTTACTCCGAGGGCTAGTGCTTCTTTTTCGTTGTCATTCAGTGCTCGTGATGATAGGTTCGTGACGATTTCTACATTTCCAGCTTCCTTCCATGGGCTGTTGTCGCACAAAGTCTTCAGTTTTCGTTTGAGTTTCGTCTGCTGTTTGTCGTTGAAGTTCTTCAGTTTCGTTCGTAGCTCAGTCGATATCGGCACTCCTTTCAATTCATCTCGTAGAATGTATATCTTGTCCCTTATCTCTGAGCACGCTTCTTCTAAAAAGCTACGGGCAGTTGTGCTAAATGGATGATCTTTACTCTTAAGTTGTTGAGGAGCCGATTTCGGCAATACTTGCTCTAGAATGCAATCATTCAGAAATTTAAGACGATTGAAACTGCTTGAGAGCTTTCTTTTTGTGAGATATTCATGCTTTTCTGCGTTATTTGTTCCGGTGTTCATGTCAGACAAATGTATATTGATGGAGACAAGTAGAAAAACACGGAACAAATAGTGCATGGACGCGTTTCGATTATTAAATCTTCATCAGCATGACATAATCACAGAGAAAAGAAGCACTACACTGAAAAAAATAATGACACCTAAAAGGGGTGTTTTTTGAAGCGTACCAAAAACGCGCAGTTTTCTGGAGTCCGATTACACCCGGAATCAGACACTTTCTAGAGTATTATGACACTGGTTGAGGGTGTATTTTTATACCATATGGTGTCAAATGATTCCCGAAATTGTACGCCTTATAAGATAAAAATACACCCCAAACCAGTGTCATAATACTCTAGAAAGTGTCTGATTCCGGGTGTAATCGGACTCCAGAAAACTGCGCGTTTTTGGTACGCTTCAAAAAACACCCCTTTTAGGTGTCACTTCAGGGAGTAATCAGATTTTGGGGGTGTATTTTGATCCCATACGGTGTATGACTCCGGGAATCATTTGACGACATGTGGTATAAAATACACTCCCCACCAGAGTCGGAATACCTCGGGGGTGTCTGATTCCCGGTGTAATCGGACTCCTGGAAACTGCGCGTTTTTGGTACGCTTCAAAAAACACCCCTCGTAGGTGTCACCTCAACGGTGTTAAATGACCCTTGAGATGGTTTTTCTACACCGGTTGAGGATGTTTCATGTTATAACATGAAACATTGATTTAGCCGATGTAGGACGCTATGGCGTCGTACATCGGCTAAATCAATAATATCGGTATACCAGAAGGCACAAACCACCGGGTACCTCCCAAACTGGTCATCCACGACACAATCACGTAAAATTAAAGACGTCAGTGACCAGTGTTAAAGGGACCCTCCCACCTTCAAAAAAGTTAATGAATTGGCATAAAAGTGATGTAGCGTGAATCACAAAGAGCGAAAATGAACATCTACCAAATTTTACCGGAAAATATTCACCCGTTTTCGAGATATAAGACTTTTATTTTTGTTTACTTTTTGGGAATTCCGCTGTTTCTATGACGTCACATAAAGGTTTTCCTTACGTCGGCATTTGGAAGCAATAGTTTGGTATCAAAGTGCGACAAATATTGCGCGAATGATGCGTTTATCTTATCAAGGTCAATATATGATGGCCAATAAAGGATTCCAGGACAATTCTTCTTATGGCATTTCTTCGTATCGCAATTCTTCGTCTGCAAATCTTCGTCAGGGCATTTATTCGTATCGCATTACTTTGTCTCGCATCAGGGTATATGAAAATCGGCTCGCATTTCTTCTTCAACGCAAATATATGCAAGAGTAAGCATTGAGGGACAAATAAATGCACCGACGAAGATTTGTAGACGAAGAAATGCGGACGAAAAATTGTGCTACGAAGAAATGTCATGGGAGGATTCGTTCGGGTACCATGACATTTATGTGATTTCAAAGTCAAGGTTCACACTTCACAGCTGATCTGCTAAATCAAGCCAAGAATCCAAACTATCAAAAAACTATAAATATTTGTTTGTCTGTCACAGAGGTCTCAAGCAATATAAGGTTGACATATGTTGAATCAAAAATCTACTGCCACAACTCACATCTTTTGCCTTAGTTTATCATTGTTGTTTTAACTTGCTTTCAAGAGAAACAGAAGCCAGTATCTGATATCACTTCAGATGATTGTTTCAAGATCTGATTTCAAATGGAAATAAAAGCAAGATCAAGATGAAACAGGGATTATTGCTGTTAAAGTAGTTTGGCCATGATACAACAAGCACATAAATCATTAGCCAAATCAAATACTGGTTGGTTTGTCAAGATGTTTGTTGTCTGTTGTCTGTCGAGCTGCTATGAACACTGAACGCTCTCACTCTTACTTTAACATTAAAGAGAGTAGTTTAAGTTGAATGGTAGTGAGCACGGGCGTAGGAACGTCATGAAAAGTGGGTGGGCCACCCTGTCAAGGGGCCTCCTTTTCCAGGGGGCCTCCTATTTTCAGGGGCCTCCAACTTTTGCCTCGTCCTGCTGGCTGCTTTCAAGTATGACCTCCAAATCTAGCTTCTGAGATCGGGCAGATGTACTCAGGGGCGTAACCGCTTAAGCGAACAGTGCGGAAAGTCCGCACCATTTTTAAAACTTATTCCCCCTCCATTTTTTTAGAATCTATTTGCCGCAAACGGCGCATGACCCCTGAAAACCCTTACACAAATGTCTTCCTCGTTTCCCAGGTGCCCCCATTAGCTTCATAGGCGCCCTCTTTGGCATATAAGCGCCCTATGTATAGTCATCAGAGACATCCCTATATGTCCCACAGTCGCCCGCATACAATGTGCGCTTATCATAGGCGTCTCTCTTT